ATCCATCACCTCAACATAGAATTGCACGTCTTTGGTTTTCTTGGTGCCCACCATAATGTGATTATGCAGATGAAAGTGGAGGAGAGTGATCATCTCATTCTCTGCTGGCTGGAAAAAAGCATGCTTAATATTTGGAAACATTACGTCCACACGCTCATCTTGCCTGGTGGTAGAAAAACGAAACCCGTTCGAATGAGCTTCAAGAGTACCAGGAATCTTTCTTCCACGGCCACCAAAAACAGGTCGAATCCAAAGGTCAGACAATCTTATTGGCTTAAATCTGTTACCAGCTAGTTGGAGTTTCTCCTGAGTAACCAGTGTTGCCCTCTCAGCTCTCTCAGACTCCCTGGCCACAACTTGCCTTCGCAGGTTTTTAATCACCTGTACCACTTCACTTATGTGCCTTGGGTCCTTGGATCGAAATGAAACTTCCTTTAAATATATAGACCCAAGGTTCTTCAAGGAGTTTACATCATGAGGACTGAAAGGAGTCCCGGGCACGTTAAAGATGATTCTGATATAACAATTCCGATTGGTGTCCTGTTGGCTGGAAACTGTCCTTATAGTGGCAACATGAAAAGGGATCATACTCCCATAAATAGGCAACAGAACAGCTTCGTTCTTCTGGTCAATCTGAATCATCAGATCTCTTGGAGGAGGGAGATCATTTACATTCTTGTAGGCAACTAAATCCGTTAAAGCCTTCGCTGCAGAACGATTGTCACCCGACCCAGATCCAGCACCAGCAAGTCTACGAGCAGTTTCTTCATTTTTCTGACGAGCAAGTTCGGCCTGATGCTGCCTGCGGAGTTCCTCCTTTGAAATCTCATGATTGTCTGACCTCAGTGTTGTCTTAGACATCAATGCCTCCGTCCCATTAGCCTCACCTTTCAATTTTTTAGGTTTAGGTTCATCTTCTTCATCTTCATTAAAGGAGTATGCCACATCCTTAAGAGCCTTAGAACTTTTAATTGTCACCACCTCCGGCTTGTCATTGTTGATCACCACAGTGTCCGCTAGCAACAAAGAGAAGTTCTGGTTCTTTGGATTACTGCGACCACTCTGCAGGTTCTGAAAACCGAGCGACACATTAAACACCATGCCTGCTTTAACCACCCGTTCATTCTTTGCATTAATATTCAACCCAGACTCACGGAACTCAAGTCCAATACCTGTCCCAGCCGATTTTGTCAGATTAGATACAAATTCAGGAAATTCAGGAGCCTCCTTCTTCACCACAGAAATGGCTGCTTGATAAGCAGCACTGACTTTTTTCCCAGGCTTCAACTCGCCAATGGCTGCATCATGTGCCTTGAGAAGAACTTCATATGCTTTGCTCTGATATGAAGTAGCATCAATCAAAAAAGACCTGGCAACATTTGAGCAGTAACTCTTGTAGCGGGACCCAACTGCACATATGATCACACTAGCAGAATCATAATAAAGCAACTCATCATTGCTGGCAGCACTGGGTCTGAGATCGAACTGTCCTCCACTCTGAAAAATCGGCGGGTAACAGATGTCAACATTCTCAGCCTTGAGCTTTGCTCCAGCTTTAGAGGGTTCCAGTATAGCTTTCTCTGTCTCATCCATAAAAGAAGAATGGGTGACCTTCTTCTCCTCATCAATAACAGTCTCAAGCTTTGGAACCACGATATTATTCATGACATTAGTAGTCAAGAAAGCAGCTCTCTTGACATTCACAAGCTCATCATTGTCCTTAACAGCAAACAATTCAGACAACCCATTTGTTACATCACCTAGCTGAAAATTTGCACTCTTCAGCTTCTCAGACCATGATTCCAAGAGATTTCCCTCAGGGACCTCCCTTGCTATGTGTCCAACAACAGCCGTATCATGGCCATCAGCCTTCAATTGAGCACGAATGGCATGGAAAATTGCATCCATCAAACCACTGCCATCATCACTCTTTACCTTCACATGCATCACAACATCTACACCCACAGCCTCCTTGGCAGGCTTTTTTACAACTTCTAGCAAAGACACCTTCTTCTGGCTGCACAAGAAATGAATCTGCTTCTTCATGAAAACCATGATCGTCTCCGGAAACTCATAACCTACCAGCCAAATATTCAATGCTGAAGATTTAAGGTACCGCAAATCCTCTGATGCTGGTGGTGTTGCTATTGCAAGAACATCAGAAGAATCCCACAAATCAGATCGATGTTCATTCCAGTGAGAATAAAGTAACTTCAATCTCTCACTGAATTTTTTCACATCAATGGAATAGGCACTTCCTGCTCCAGTGCTGGTTTTTCCATTAGGGGGTTGGCTATTTCCATTTCGATGATCAGCCATTAAGAACAATTTCTACATAAGACAAAGAGCCAACTAATCACTTCCTGCCAATTAAATTTAAAAAAAAATTAAGAAAAAAAAATTCACACTTTCTCAATATTCAGAAATAAACTCAAATAGTTTAGCTATAAAACCCTAAAAAGCCAAATTGTAAATTAGGGTTTCGCGTAAGTTCGCATTCTATGGCCATCGCCAGTCTTAGAAAATCTAGCAAAACCCTGAGCATCATTGTTATCGTCCCCCTTTAATTTTCTATTCATAAATCTTCAACTCGATGAACAAATTAGGTTTTCCTATTTCCTTCCCCAAACATAGAAAAATACTGCGAAAACCACTTAATTCATGTATAAGCAGCGAAAAAAGAACAAGAAACTCACCTTTCTGAAACTTCAGAGATAGCTTTCTGTGAACTTCTGCGGTTTCGTAATGTGAATTAGGGTTCTGGTTTCGGACCCTAGGGCTTGGCGGCGACAAGTCCCCGATAAATTAACCAAAAAGCATATATATATAGAGAGAGAGAGAGATAGAGTGAGAAAGAAAACTTAGGGTTTCAGAACTAAGGATGAGAGAGACTGAGAGAGAGAGAGAGAGAGGGATTTGAAGGGGTTTGCTTTGGATAATAAAAACGATGAAAATGAAAAAACTAGAGAGGAAAGGTTTTTGAACCAGAGTGTGTGTGAGTGAAAGATTTATGATTTTCGAGGGCTCTCGAAGAGGGACTTGAAGGAAACTGATTTTTATGTTGTGACGAAAAAGGACTGGACATTAAGCCTTATGACTTCTTTGTAGGGCGTTTTTTGCGGTCATTGAGATTTCTTAGAGGGGTGTTTTGGGGGATTTGGTTCTGTTCTGTCAGGACAAGGGGTTTTGAGCATGACGGCGTCGTTTCTTTGAGAGGGAAACAGGACCAGGTGTTTGGCGCTTGGCCTCACGACGTCGTTTCGCTTAAGGGGTGGCGGGAAAGACATTGGGCTGTGTTGAAAATAAGGCGGGAAATCATGATTTGATGGGAATCAGTACCTGTGATGATGAGCGGTGAACCGTCTGATTCTCTGATTTTTCCCATTTTAAGTTTAATTCTCAAAAAATGCAATTTTATTTTTAATTGTAGCCAAACAAAAAAAAAAAAAAAAAAAAAAAATTAAAAAAAAAAAAAAAAAAATAAAAATAATAATTACCTTCTTGTTACAATTTGGTATTTACAATGCTACAATTTTGGCAATGCCACAAACATTTGTGTTTGGGAACAAAGATTAGTAGTCTTATTAGATTGTGTTTGGCGGGCATGTTATTGTGTTCCTGAGAAGCAGTGGTGGTCAAGTCAACCATCAAATCAATTTTGTGACAAATTTGAAAGGAAAAAAAAAATACAAACTAACCCTTCAATTTTTTATTTTTTATTTTTTTATGAACAAATTATAAACTTTCATTAAACTTGCTAATCATCCTAATCTCCTATGTCTCATTATTTGTGTTCTGTTATTAACCCTCCATTAAGTCAAAATAACCAGTTAAAAAAACATTAAGTCATACTACTTACAACAAGAGAAACAAATGTGTGGTTTAAACTATGATTTTTTTAATGTACGAGAAAGGAGGGACATTTTGGAAAAGGTCAAAAGAGAGAGAAGTATTTTGAAAAGAAGTCAAAATTGACAAAAATACCCTTATTTGTTTTTGGATTTCCTAAGGAATCCTTTACATTTACGTATCTTTGGTTTGAAAGTTAAAGGGTTTTTCTGTCTTTTTTGAAAAAAAATTTGGTTTTTCCAAAAGTGCAAGTTTTTTTTTTGTGTGGCTAAAACCTAACTTTACTATATTTGAAACAGTGTGCATGCATGAATGAGTCCAATTCCTGAGACTGAACTCAAATGGCTTGGTCCAATCCGAACTCACTTAATCGGTTCATGTTTGTGATGCATGTGAACATTTTCAGTACCAGGCCGGTGTCATTGAAATTTAAATCTGATAAGAATGTGTCCCTCAAAACAAAAAAGGGTTAACATCTAATCTAATGCCATGCCATGGCTGTCTCTTGTCATACTTGCTTGGTCGCTTACCAACTTTTTTTATATTAAATATATTTGTTTTGTTTTCTGGGTTGCCCGGCTTACCTAGTCATCACCAATGAACAGTAGGGGAGGCCTGCAATGCAATGCCATTGACTTAGTCAGGATATAAATTTTTTATTTGCTTTTGCTCGTTTCAACAAGATATCAGTTGATTGAAGCATTGGTGAAACACCAAATCTAGTTCTTTGATGGTTTTTAATTTCTCACCAAGCTTGTTTCTTTTTGCTATAATCTTTGTGTTAAATATGAGTATTATTTGTGATTTGCAAGTGGTGCTTGGGAAGATTCCTAATCATCCTCTTCATTGCCAGTTGACATCTTTCAAAAATAAAAAAAAAAATATATTAACATAGAAAGTTCCAACCATGCAGATTTCAAATGGAACTGTTCAAACTTAGACAGCTTCAAGTTTGTGCTCTGCAGCTAGCTATAGCTACACACGTTTTACCAAATCCATACTTCACCATTCTTCTTAATTAAACTATAAATATGCAATTAAGACCGGCTATTTCCATCATCTCCATCTCTCCACAGCTCACTTCCTCATCTTTTTTCATATAATTTTCTCTTTCAGTACAGTATTCATTTGATCTAATTTAGGTGTTGAAAATGAGTGCCGCAAAGTTAAGAATGAGTTTGATCTTCCTTTTGGCCATGTCTATGGTGGTCTTCATGGCATCAGCAGCTCCGAAAATCGGTTTCTATCAATGGAGTTGTCCTTCTGCAGAGGCAGTTGTGAGAAAAGCTGTGAACAAAGCTGTGGCAAAGAATCCAGGCATAGCTGCTGGCCTCATCAGAATGCATTTCCATGATTGCTTTGTTAGGGTAAGCTTCATTCACATGCATGAATAATATTCTACATTTTATAATTAAGTATATTAGAACTAATTACTCACAACTAACATGTGTTCTTTATTGTTTCAGGGTTGTGATGCCTCTATCCTACTTGATTCGACTCCTGGACAACCATCCGAAAAAGAACATCCAGCAAACAATCCGAGCTTGAGAGGCTTTGAAGTGATCGATGAGGCCAAGGCCGAGATTGAAGCTAAATGCCCCAAAACCGTGTCATGTGCTGACATCCTTGCATTTGCTGCTCGTGACAGTGCACTCAAAGTTGGTGGGATAAATTATGACGTGCCTTCGGGGCGGCGAGACGGAAGAGTTTCCCTCCAAGATGAGCCTACGCAGCACCTCCCCCCACCTTCCTTCAACGCCAAGCAACTTGAGGATAGTTTCGCCCAAAAAGGCCTTAGCTTGGATGAAATGGTCACATTATCTGGGGCACATTCTATTGGCGTGTCACATTGTTCTTCCTTCTCTGATCGCTTGTATTTCTTCAATGCCACTCATCCACAAGACCCTTCAATGGATCCCATTTTTGCCAGGAACTTGAAAAAGAAGTGCCCTAGATCATCAAACAATGATCGAGTTACGGTGCCACTTGATGTTCTTACACCAAATAGGCTTGATAACAAGTACTATACTGATTTGAAGAACCATCATGGCCTGCTTACATCAGATCAAACTCTTCTTACCAGCCGTTCGACAGCCGGGATTGTGAGGAACAATGCCAGATTTGGTACAGCTTGGGCTAATAAGTTTGCAGCAGCCATGGTGAAAATGGGCTCCATTGATGTCCTCACAGGAAGGCAAGGGGAGATCAGGAACAACTGCAAGGTTGTGAACTAGAACACATATATAGGGATTTATTGGCCCCATGATCAAATTGGAGCTTTGTTTTGTTGATCACACACACATAATTGTATGAAATTGATTCATTAAACTTGTTTATTAGTAAGCTTTTTGTGTTTAATTTTAATGAACACTCCAATCGCAAACCTATGCATTAAGTTTGAACTTTCAATCATGCGGCAATCAACATCTTCATATAAATAATAAAAACAAATGAATTAATAATACCATGTGTAACCAAAATCATTGTAGTAAAGTAACTAAACTAATATGTTGGTCCAACCCAACAACTTGTCAAAGACTGAATCCTGTGAAATTGAATATCAAAGTTTTCCCTCTTTCTGCCAAGTCACATATGTTCTCAGTGTGGTAGGTTTATGAATTAAAGCAGGTCAGTCGATTAAACTGGAAGGTAATAAAGTGCAAGGTAATAATTAAAGGGCTCTTACCCATCTCAGTTTGTGTTAGGTACCACCATAAATTCTACACCAATGCCATAAAATCCCACTAGAGGGATGGAGGAGGGATGGTCAGATGGCATCGCCCCACCTACACCTAATATTAACTTCACTGAAAACTGGTTAGTTAGTGTCATTTTTACCATGGTTAAATATCAGTCACTTGAATTTTCCAAAATGACCTTGAATTAATTGAAGTCCCATTAGTTAAACCACTGCATTTAGCAAGGCAGCATTCCTCTATTCCTGAAATGGAGATCTTTTGTACTATAAGAAGGGTGGGTTTTCCATGATCTTCCTTCACCCCGTAACAAATTTTAGAGTGTGACTCAAAACTCTAGAGAGAGAGAGAGAGAGAGATAGAGAGATAGAGCTCAAAGCAGCAAAAGGTCTTTTAATATTTCTTTTGAGGCATGGAGAGAGTGAGTAAGGTGGTGCTGATCCTGACCACCATACTAGTGGTTGCTGCATTGGATGTTGAAGGAGGAAGGCAGATCAAGAGTCATGATGAGAATGGAGAGGGCGTTGATAAGCCTCAGAACTTCTATGGAGGAGCTGCAGGAGGCATCTTCCCAGGCCCTCCAGGGTTTGTTACTGGGGTTAGCTTTGGACCATCAGGCCTCTGCACTCTCCCTGGAGGCTGTGTTCCAGTCCCAGTCCTCCCCACCATCCCTGCTGTTCCTTCTGCTGGTGGCTCAGTCCCATTTACACCATGACTCAGAGACCAGTTTGGCTAGCTGCACCAGGGTCTGCTACTTGCATCTGGTTTTAATGGTCTGTTTGAAATCTTTCATTAGGTCTAATTTGTGTTTGGTTTAGTCTTAATTAGTGTGTTTTTCTGGTTTGTGGGTGTGTGTTCAGTGCTGGGTCTAGAACAACGTGCTCTAAGTTCTTGTAATGCTAGCAGAAGATGTAGCTACCGAGCTAGGGTTTTCACTTGGCTGCCACACGTTGTACTAGTTTATCTATATTTATGTTATGGTTGATAAATGTGCCCTAGCTAGAAATGAAGAAGAAGAGTCACCTCACTTCACTAGTTTCTTGCTAATCTCTTTGTCCCATGACCATGAGCTGCAGGCCGTGCTTTACCACTTACTTGTTTAACATATTGGCTGGAAGTGAAATTCTGTTACATGTGAAATTGAAAATTAACATCTTACATTTGTCCATCTTCCCTGAGATTTGGACATGAACAAAACTACAAAACTAAAATTTCCAATATTACAAGAATAGAGACTGAAAATGCAAAGTAAATGAATAGCATAGTTCACACAATTAGAGAGTGTAATTTGGCCTTTTATTTAAAGAAAAAAGGATTAAAAACGTCACTCCACTATTTATTTATTTATTATTTTTTTTTTTAAAGAACCGAGTATAGCCGAGCGGCTATACTATCCTTCAATAATTTATTTTAATATTTTAATATATATTATTTTTTAAGGGAATTTCACTAAAACACTCAAAATGGGAGCTGAAATTATAAAAAAACCCAACACCCAAAACACTTTATAAACACACCCAAAACCCATCATTACACACACTTAAAACCCATTTATAAACTCACCCAAAAAATATACAATTGTTGATTTTGTGGTTGATTTTGGGTGTGTTTCTATGTTTAAATAGTGCTTGAGTTTTTTATAAATACATGTCTAGGATTGGGTTTATTTATAAATTTGTATATTTGTAATCAATAGTATGTGGAAATTATGTGTATAATACTTGAAGTTTGTGTGTATTGAAAATTTTGTAAAAAAACACGTGTACTAAACATGAAAAATACGTACGTACGTGTATTTTATGTTTGCTTTTTGAAAAAACTTGTATTTTACCTAGCCTTTAAGACGAGTATGGAAAATGAACAAAGTCAAGTGGAGCTCATATCCTATTGATGATGAGTAACTGGTAGTTTACTTGCTCGACACAGGGAGAGGTAGCTTGCTTAGTGTGGAAGGCTAATTAATCACAAATAACATGTGTTCTTTTGGGGTTGCATCCTACTTGATTCAACTCCCGGTAAACCATCTGAAAAAGAACATCCAACAAACAATCTGAGCTTAAGAGCCTTAAAAGTGATCGATGAGGCCAAGACTGAGATTGAGGCTAAATTCCCTAAAATAATGTCATGTGCTGACATCCTTGCATTTACAGCTTGTGATAGTGCACTCAAAGTTGGTCGGCGAGAAAGAAGAGCTTCCCTCTAAGATCACCTCCCCCCACCTTCCTTCAATGCCAAGGAACTTGAGGACAGTTTCACCCGAAACAGCCTTAGCTTGGTTAAAATGGTCACATTGTCCGGTCACATTCTATTGGTGTGTCACATTGTTTATTTGATTCTCATAACGATCTACTTTCCTTTAAACCTTATTTATTTTTCCTTGTATGCATAAAGTCCTAATGGGTTCAGGTAATCTCTAAAAAGGATCAATCACATATTTGGACAAACAAACTATATGTTCTCAAAAAAATTCGAGGCGCGCATCTTCTTTTGGGAAGAAGCTAGATGAGGATCTCATACAGACAGACGATAAGTCCCAAAATCATAAGAATATATGCTTATTCCTTCAGTGTGTTTTCTCCTTCTAAATGGGAACTCTTTAGAGCTTGTGCATCAAGAGAACTTCTTCTCCCGAGGAGGAATTCTTTTATCTCTATATATGTTGAAAACAGTTCAGGGTCATCATTTGTGCTTTTCCATTTACACTTCTTAATTCATTGTTTTGGTGGTAAACACTTACTATTTAAAACATAGTTGCAATATAGAGGGAGCCTCTATCACTTGTGAGGATCTTAAACTCACATTGGCAGAAGATGTGATCCATCTACATTTGCTTGATCCCATCATTCTAGAATAGCAGGAGCAAGAAGTTGCTATGTGACTCATTTCCTACTATAGCCTTTTGTCACATGATGACTTTTTCGGAGTGTTCCTTCTGTGCGGCCTTAGACTTGATCGCCTCTCGAACAAGCTAAGTCAGCCTCCTTCCTACAACACAAGATCGAACCAAGCAAGAGCAAGAACAATAAAAACGCTTAAGAGAGTTTGAGAGAATATATGCTTGTATTGCTACTAAAATACTTTACAAGTTGTGAGGTGAGGATACACAATGTGACATCCTCCTTATATATTGTTCCTATCGCACCTACCACCATAGTAGGTGGCTAAGATACAATGTCACCAACCTAGATCTACCTACTACTTCTACCAACCAACGTCTACCTACTACTGTACATCAAATCTGGACATGTGGGCTAAGAGGCCTAGCATGATCAATCCAAGGGACTATGCCTTGAACATGTGGAGGGTTTACTGTAGTTTACCCTATAAATAAATAAAATAAAAACAAATCTGATTGGGTCCAGCCCAATCTGAATACTATATCATACAAGACCATGGTGGCATTTGCATAGGCGTACGTCCTTCTTCACAAGAGGCATCTTTCTTCTTCGCAGGCGAGGGTGTCTTTTTTCTTCGCTAGTCTCTAGCACGTCTTGCTAAAGTCAACGTCTTCCTTCTGGAACCCTTGTCCCAGCTCAATCTCTCTCACTGTTTGATTTTTGTAAGTCTTGCTTTTCGTAGCACTATATGTGTGATCTAACTAGTGTTAGGTATGTAATTGGTTTTGTAATGTATTTTGGTCACTTTAGTATGTAATTGTACATTTCTGTATGCAAAAAGCACTCTTGCACTTGGAAGATAAGCTTCAACAATGTGTTTGATAAACTAACATTTTCCATTTTCAAGCTTTGATTTTGATTTCTTTTGGGGCTGATTTTTTTTCATTATTAGAGGCTTACCTTACCATGAATCCTACTAGAAGTTCTCTTGACTATAGCAAATTCAAGACATTACCATGTTATTTCAGCATCAATGCATATGGCACTTCCAGAACGACTGTGGATGGTGTACAGTTTGACGACTTTTTTCAGGCTATCGAGGTTGCTGTTGCTGAAAATGTGGACGTTGACATTGGCCCTAACCTGCAGTATGAGAACTTGAACATTGGCTGTAACCTGCAAGATGAGAACTAGTACTATGCCCTAAACTTTCAGGATGAGAACGTGCATATTAGCCTTAACCTACAAGATGAGAACATGGACATTGCCACTAACCTGCAGGATGAGAACTTGGAGAGCACAGCTGGCCTTAACCTGTACATTGGCCTTAACCTAGAGGATGTGAACGCGGACATTTGCCCTAATTTGCAGGATGAGAACATGGACATTGCCCTTAACCTGCAGGATGAGAACGTGGAGGATGAGAGATTGGATCCTGGTGCACCAACTGGTATTTATGCATCTCTGGACATTGGCATGAACATGCAGGATGAGAACGTGGAGGATGAGGGATTGGATCATGGCGCATCACCTTCACATGCTTCCCCTAGTGCAACTATAACAGAGGATAGGTACGTATGACATGCTTTGAATTTGCCGTTCATGATTTTGAAAATTTGAGGTTCATGATTTTGATTTCTTTTCAGGCACCGTAAAACTTTACAGACTATAGAGGTCAATATTAATGACTACAGCACTCGTCCATTGTCTGAGTTATGGGAAGCAGCTCGCCGGGACTTTGAAGCTAAGTTCATTGAATCTTTGTCAAATAGGAAAAGATCAATTGGTGATGCTGCTGTTGGTGGTGATGCTGCTGCTTATAGCAACAAGAAGAAGTTGAAGATCGATGGTGATGCTACTGCTGATGGCAGCAATAAGAAGCTCAATTAAAACTTTGCAGCAGAGATGATCACTGGTCCGATAAAAGCTTTGTTCATGAATGAAGTAACAAACGGCTTAGACAGTTCCGCATCATTCCAGATTGTTGCTTATCTTCAGAAGCTGGTACATATATAACAAATGCTACTTTATTGGTTTCTCTTCTTCAGCCTGCACTGGAGACCTTTGAACTCTTTGATGACCTTATTTTAATGTCATAAGGGAGGATTGTTTATCATGGTCCGCAACATGATGTCTTGAATTTTTTGAGGATTTAAGCGTCCTAAGAGGAAAATGGTTGTCGATTTCCTTCAAGAGGCAAGTGCATTGCAGCTTATGATATTTGCTTATCTTTCCATGTTTTCATTTCTTCAAATCAATGCAACAATTAACATTATTTGTGCTTTTGCATTTACACTTCTTAGTTCATTGTTTTAGTGGTAAACACTTGTTTAAAACATAGTTGCAATATAGAGGGACCCTCTATCACTTGTGAGGATCTTAAACTATCATTGGCAGAAGATGTGATCCATCTGCGTCTGCTTGATCCCATCATTCTAGAATAGCAGGAGCAAGAAGTTGCTATGTGACTCATTTCCTACTATAGCCTTTTGTCACAGGATGACTTTTTCGGAGTCTTCCTTACATGCGGCCTTAGACTTGATCGCCTCTCGAACAAGCTAAGTCAGCCTCCTTCCTACAACACAAGATCGAACCAATCAAGAACAATCGCAAGAGCAAGAACAATAAGAACGCTTAAGAGAGTTTGGAAGAATATATGCTTGTATTGCTACTCAAATGCTTTACAAGTTGTGAGGTGAGGATACACAATGTGACATCCTCCTTATATACTGTTCCTATCGCACCTACTACCACAGTAGGTGGCTAAGATATAATGTCACCAACCGAGATCTACTTACTACTTCTACCAACCGACGTCTACTTACTACTGTACATCAAATTTGGACATGTGGGCTAAGAGGCCTAGCATGATCAATCCAACGAGTTGGGCCTTGAACATGCGGGCCGTGACATTCTCCCCAACCTAATCCGGTGACGTCCTTGTCGCCGCGGTAGATTTTTCACGTTCAAATGCTTTGATGATGTCCTTGTACTTCCACAAAGACTCTTCTTTCTCCCAATTGCCTTCAGACTCTAGTAGGCCCTTCCATTTGACAAAGTACTCAAAGTACCTTGGTACACCCTTGCGTCGCACCTCTCGCTTTGCCATGAGCACTCGACCTCCCTTTCAAATGAAGTCACCATTAAAGGTGGAGCTCGTTGAGACTCTCTACGACTTGGCTCTTTGGAGTCGGCATGGTAAGGCTTAAGATTGCTCACGTGAAACACTGGATGAATCTTCAATTGGGGTGGTAGTTCCACACGGTAAGCAGCTCTTCCCACTGATCGGATGATAGGAAATGGGCCCTCATATCTCCTCAACAACACCTTGTGCAATCTTCTAGTGGACTTGTGTTGAGAGGGGTTAAGCTTCACGAAGACCAGATCACCTGGTTGGAACACAACATCCTGCATGTGCTTGTCCGCCCATTTCTTCATCTTCTGAGTTGCCTTCTCTAATTGAGCCCAAGCTAGCTCATTAGTCACCTGCCACTCCTTGGCCGTCTTGTATGCATCTGAGCTACTCCCCGTGTAGCCTGACACCACTGTGTTTGGTGTCATAGGTTGTTGTTCTGTTGCCAACTCAAAAGGACTTGACCCTATCGACTTCAACCACTGCAAGTTGTACGAGAACTGTGCAACATCCAACAACTTTGCCCAATCTCGTTGGTTGGCACTCACGTAGTGCCTCAGATTGTCCCACCTTGGAACATAGATCCTCTTCCTTGTTGCATAAAGAACATCATCATTGAGCCAAAATCTTTGTCTTCCCATCTTTGACAAGCTCCAACAGACTTTTGGTTTGGGAATCATGCAACAAGCCCTCTCGTATCCTTTACTCCGTGTCATTAAGCTTCCGACTCTCGAAAGCCAATGGGTGTCCATCCTGCATGCGTACACCACCAATAGCAAAATCTGATGTATCAGTGTGTACCTCCAAAGGTTTGCTAAGATCGGGTAGTCTTAGCATTAGTTCCTTCAAAGGTGCCCTCTTCAACTCATCGAAGGCATGATCCACCTCTCTCCTAGGTGATAAGGTTTTGGGCAACTCCTTGGGCATGATATATGCAAACCCCTTAGGGACTGTCTCCACCATTTTCAGGACTAGTTTGACTTCCTTCTCAACTATGTCCACCTTCATAGTTACAAGGAACGTCGGTTCGCCTTTCTTCCAAAACTTGGAAAATTGCATGGTTGACAAGCGCTTCGACTCGCCTTATTGCCTTACTACTGGCACCATGCACGACATTGCTCCACCATGTGCAATGCACATAGTATTGTAAAATGGAATGGGAAATGCTTGTACCTTGTCCATGAACTCCATTCCTAGCACGACATCATAGTCATCCATCGGGATCATGGAGAAGTCAACTACTCCCTTCCAAGCAGAAATGTGTAGCTCTACACCACGAGCTACCCTATCAATTGGTTTGGCAATTGAATTCATCGTCTTCATACTGCCTGCTTCCTTCGAGACTCGACACCTAAGTCTCTTTACTTCCTGCACGGACATAAAGTTGTGTGAGACACCCGTACCCACCAGAAAAAGGGTTGTCATGTCATTCACCATGGCGTCGACGAACATCACTCATTTAGCTTGAACCTGTGGTTAAAGCCTAATATTTTAATTAATAAATAAATAAATAATATATAATTGCATATCTTACAACACCAATAGGAATAGTGAAAGGTCTTCCACATTTGTATTTGATGTCAAAGTTTGTCCCAAACATCAATATTAATTCTTGTCTATTAACGTATCTCTAAAAGAGAAGCATTTTTCATTTTTCTAAATAAAATTCACCATTTTGTTAATAATATGGCTCTAATTTCAACCCCAAAAAAAAATATATATTGTGTTTACAACTGGCATGATTTATATGATTTAATGTATACTTTTATTTCTAGAAGAACTATAGAAACTGTTAGTAAAAAAAAAAAATTCATTAGATTTTAAGCTAATAACTTTAGCTAATCCGCTCATTGAAAAATTTCTGGTTCTGCCCTTAAAAAAGAAGAAAAAAAGAAAAAAAATTGAGAACATGAGGAAGGTACCATGCGACTACTATTACGATGAGTTGGTCAAAATGTTTGTCCCGTAAAGAGCCAGAGTTTTTGATCTCCCAAGGGATGTGGTGGTTGACTTCGTTTGGAATTGGGCCATGCAACAACTTCTTTAACTTGACTTGCTACCCGGCCTTGCCGTTGAACATTGCTATTCAACCTTTGAACTTCAAGGTCATACATTCTATTAGGGTTGGGCATTCAAACCGGTAACCCGGTCAAACTGCCCAAACCAAACTGATGGGTTGGGTTGGTTTGGTTTTTTTTATAATTGTTTTTTGGTCATCGGTTTGAACCCAAATCAAACCGAAATATATGGTTTGATGTACGGTTTGCAATAATCAAAATCACGGTTTAACCAAACCAAACCGAAGATATTAAAAAATATTATATATAATATTATTATAAGAAATATATATATAATACATAGTTTCAATCTTTTCTTTTTCTTCTCTCTCAATCTCTCCGTTTGTCTTGTCTTCATCAGTCCCTCTCTCTATTTTTTTTTCTTCTCATTCTTCTTATATCTGTCTTCACTCCCTCTCCCCGTCTCCCTCTTCTTTTTCTTCTTCTCTCTCTCTCTTTTCTTTTTCTCCTTTTCTTCTTCTCCATCTCTCCCTCTCTTTTTTTTTCTTCTTCTCCTCTCCATCGCTTTTATTTCTTCTCTCTCTCTCTCTCTCTCAGAAAGCCAAAAAATCGAAACCGAACCAAACCAAACCACCAAGTCCGGTTAACCAAAGTGGTCAGTTTTCATCAATTATGGTTTGGTTTCGGTTTTCAAAATAGTCAAATCAAAGCCTACGATTCAGTGTTCAGGTTGGGCCCAAAACCGAACCAACCCAAACCTAGCCCAGGCCTACATTTTATCATAATGGATAAAGGATCCACGTTATGAACAGTGCGACACGAGCATCCTGACTATCTACAAGCTTTCTACTGGACCTATAGCGGCAACCAGGCCAGTCAATTCAATATACATATATTTTTTTTAAAGCATTAAACTCATCATTCTCTTGCTTCATCCGGAAAAGAATTTGCATGTTACATGATTGCACCTATTCTGCTATCACGTAATTGATTGAGGATAACAAACAGTGCTATGACAGTGAGAGTTTTTCCTCAAGGTGGAGGTGGGAAGGCCAAAAAAAAATTACAATACAGACAAAGAGAAAGGAACACTAGCCTTCCTTTGGGTGGACGTACACTTCACAGCTTGTGTATTGTACAAGTTCCTACATCCCAATTATATTGTCAGTTAGAAGATATTAGAGAAAAGATAAGCAGCAAGAACTAAACTCGATCTACCAACACTTTATATATGCACCTTTTCGGGGATAGCCATGAGAAGTTTCTTCAGCTTGACATATTCATCCCGCACACCATACAAGAGATTTTGCATATTACCAGCATTACAGACACGTCCTTAGTTTGACTCTTCATGGAGCCTAGCGGTTAGGGTTTAGAGTTTAATAACTTAGATTTGTTTCCAGGAAGAAAATAATTGACAGACGGGACCGCAGCAAAAACAAAAATGAAAATAAATTCAATATATTTATAAACAACTTTTGTTATAATGTACCATATCCAATTCACATGCCATGCCAAACTCTGCTAAAGCAGATTCCACTGCCGGCCAAGCTTCTTGCACATCAGTTGCAACAAAATATAATGCAAAGGCTCATAGATGACAAGGCTTTGTCATACTTCAGAAATCTCGAGAATGGAATTTATCTTATATGGGAAATTTAGCTAGAAAAATTATTACAAAATGATGAAATAGTTTGATTTTACTGGTCTAGTGGTGCCCTCAGACTAAGCCATTGATTTCATATAGCACCCAATCAAACTTTTACCCAGGCAGAGAACACAAGGGAGATGATCACATAAATTCTTTTTTTGTTTTAAAGTTTTATCTTAAATATGATACATGAAAATATGACAAATAAGAACAAGAGAAGAAGGTACCTTGGGATCTAGAGAAGGGCCTCCAGAAAGAGAATATATCTACTTCTACTTCTACAATTTTGCTGCCTTTTTCATCGTCTTCGCCGACGAAGAGCCAGAGTTTTGTTTGGAATTGGATGCTCAGGCTCACAATTGACGTTGCTATTCATCATGTTGTTGATTTTTTGTTCAAAACCCTAGACACAGAGAGAAAGAACGAAAAGTCGGAAGGCATCGCCTTTGGATTTGAATATAACTTGTATAACAAGCTAGAGATGAGATCACAGAGAAAGGGAGGAAAGTTTAGAGAGGAAAGGTTACCAAAAAGGATTGTTGGGTGAGGTCGAGTTGTGCGCGGAGAGAAAGAGAATGAGTTGCCCTGAGCGTGAGGAATGTGTTTTTGTGAGCGCAGCAGAACGATTTTTCCTCGAGAGGTTTCCGAAGAAGGATACCTCTATCCTTATAGTCCTACTTACCCGTTTATATATTACTTACCCGCATATTATCTTACTTACTCGTTTATATTGTCCTATTGTAATTGAGATTTATTTAGTTAACACATTTTTGTACTTCTTTATAAAGACCTCCATATTAGAGAACAATACATATATAAAATAAAAAAAAATTCATATATTTTGTTTGACATAGTATCGGAAAATTCTCTTGTCTAAACCCTTCAACAACTTCAACCTTCCTCAAGGAGTTTTTGGTATGATATCTAGGGTTTTGTTTTTTTTTTTTTTTTTTTTTTTTTTTTTCTATTTGAGAATATTAAATCTAAACTAGGTGCTTTGTTATTATTACTATTATTATTATTTTGTCAGAATAAATGCTTTGATTTATTTTTCCTTCTGTTTTTCTTTTAGGCTTACCATGAATCACGACATCGGGTTGGGCGAGAACTGGTGCGCCTTGAGTGATATTGAAGATTTGAATGCGAAAGTGGCTGGTCCTTCTTCATACACATTTACTGCAGTTTCGGATTCGTATGTGCCTCCTCTTGGTGACACTCAAATCCCAGTGGACATGTTGGCGTTGGACTTTGAAAACTATTATACTTAGAATTTGGCTGCTCCTTCCCCTGTTCTATCCGACAAGGCTGATGCATCCCCAGTTCTCGTGACCGACTGCATTGTTGGTAACGTGGATCCTTTATTCCTATGAGAGGATATAAACTTAAATTTCATGTGCACAAGTCTCTTCGCAAGTTGAGTATATTTTGAGAGGTTGAGAATGTTGGATTTCTGCTCACAGTCCACTTATGCGATGGTGGTTTTTGTTTAGTCCATGTTAATATTTTGGGGTCTGAGATGTGTTTTACCTAATTATTGGAGTGCATGAAATTCTGTTACAATGTAGTTACTTTTAATCTTTTTTTAATAAATAAAGGCCAAATTACACTTTCTAGTCGTGTGAACTTTACTAATTTTCTTAGCATTTTCATTAGAGTAAATTGTTGAAAGACCCCTGAATTAGGACCCTTATCGAACTTAACTCTTTCAACTAAAAAGTCAGCCAATTTAGCACATGAATTAATTAATAAAATCGCCAATTTCACACATGCTTTTAGATTTTATGAGATTTCATCCAATCTTACGTCAAACCAAACCACGTGAGGCTCACGTGTAACCTATTTTGATGGCAATTTCATCCTTCTAAGCCATTTCCCTCCCAATCCTCATTGGCGCTAACTAGATTGAGATTGAAGAGCGTTTTCTCTAATTTCGTCCTAAAGTGGAATGTGCGTAAGTGAGAAGAGGAAGTTGAAAATTCCTGCAAAGCTTGGTTATGGTTAGCTCATTGAAATTTTGGGAAGAACATTGAAACCAAAGATGACGAGATGTGTGGAATTATTTCTAACTCCAGCGCCTTTGGGCCTATTGGATAATCGCTTCGATGACGTCGGACTTGGCAGCATGGCCGTTCCTGAGATTTTGAGGGCCCTGTGCAAAACTTAAATTGGGGCTTCACATAATCTACACTAAAATATTATAAAAAAGAATTTGCCATAACTTAAAGTCATAAAACAAATTTTTTTTAAACTAAAAGTCACCATCAATAAACATGTAATTACAATAAAAAATCAAATTCATAAAAATTTAGGATTTAGGATTTAGGATTTTCTCTTTTTGGTGTTGAAATTCTTGAAATTGAAAGAATAACAAAAATTGTCAAAGGATTGAAAAAAGAACCAAAGAGAGATTGATGAATGATGATGAGTACTTACGAGAAAATCGGAGTTTAAGAGAAAGATGAAGCTATGAATTTTTGTTTTGTTTTATTTTGAGTGAAAGAAAGTACTTTTTTTCGGAGGAGAAAACCCTATTTTTGCGTTTGGGGCTTGGTTCGATGTTTCCTTTTTTATTTTATTTTATTTATTTTTTATAAACGTGTTATGGTTTTTATTTATAATTATTTAAAGTTTGTTGTTATAATGCAAAAATAATTTTTTTAAAGCAGATGGAATGACTCAATGAGACAAAAGCCGGGGCCTTCTATTAAAGGGATAAGCGTTGAAAGGCCAACTTCACCACACACACTTTTGTGCTAATTGTAAACATGCTAAAGTATATATACAACTCCTATAATATTAATATATATAATATAAAGATATTTTTTTTCGGGAGCCCTGTACGGTGGTGCCACATGCCACTTGCACCACCTCAGGGCCGCCCTTGCTTGGCAACGATCTAGGTAATGATTTCTATTTTAATGTAATGACGTTTTTAATATTTTTTAAATAATAATAAAAGGCTAAATTACACCTTTTTGGTCATGTGAACATTACTCATTTACTTTGCACTTTCATTCTATGTTCTTATAATATGGCAATTTTAGTTCTGTAGTTTTGTTCATGTCCAAATCTTGGGGAAGATGGGCAAATGTAAGATGTTAATTTTCAATTTAGCATGTAACAAAATTCCACCTCCAACCAATATGTTGAACAAGTAGGGTCCAGCTGTAATGTGACAAGTAGTTCTTCGAATAAGGAAAAAGAAACTAATTTTATATTTTTAAAATTTAGATAAAATAAAAAAAAACTCTCCCAATGACATTTCGTCGGCACAGGTTTATGCAGGCAAATGTTTGCCGGATTAGACCTCTCCCGACAAAAGTACCTCTGTCAATGAAATTTCATTGGGAGAGGTCTAATACGACAAATTTTGCCAGGAGAGACATATGTCGACAAAATTTCGTCGAGACAATTTTTTCTTTTTCTTTTTTTACATAAATATAAACTTAGCATGTTTAGGTTAATGAATTTTTTTCAATTTATTTTTAATAATTAAATAATATATTTGCCTTATTTAATTAGTTAAATTAGTAATTATAATTTATTTAGTTAATAATTAGTAATTAATATTTTAATCATATTATGCTACTTAAAGGGTATAGCCGCGCGGCTAGACGTTTAAAATATTCTATTTTGGAGTGTAGCCGAACGGCTATACGTTTAAGATATTATTTTTCTGGCGTATAGCCGGACGGCTATACGCATATTTTATTTATAGATTACAGCCGCGCGGCATACTTGTAAAATATTATATTTTAGAGTATAGCCGGGCGGCTATACGGTTGAAATATCATATTTGGTTTATAGCCGCGCGGCTATACTTTTACTATTTTTTTGGGTTTGTTTTTTTTTGTTTTTTTTTTTTTTTTTTTTTTTTTTTTTTTTTAAAAAAAAAAACAAATGCATCGATTGTTCATCGCAAGCCAATACGACGTCACTTGCAGTAGTCTTTCTTTACTCTCTGCCGTTTGCATCTGGATCCGTGTTCGTTTGCTGCGAAAACGAAAGGATTGAGCGACAAAATCTTCATTATTTGTTTGGTAATTTCCTTCTCAGGAACCGTCGGCCCAGCTCAATCTCTCTCACTGTTTGATTGAGTTACTTAGAGCTTTTTTTTCGTAAGTCTAGCTTTTCATATAGCACTATATGTGTGATCTAGCTAGGTATGTAAAGGAGTAATGTGTTGTAATTTTTCTTGGTTTTGCTTGATATGCATGAGGGATTAATGGGTTTTATTTTGGTCATTTTTGTATGCAAATGCATTCATTGTTTTGTACCTATCTGTATGCAAAAAAAAATAAAAAAACTCTTGCAGTGCACATGTAAGATAAGAACATTGTGAAGGATGCTTCAACAATCTGTTTTGATATGTTAGGCCATTCTGTAGATGTTTCTTGCTGAGTGGATTTTTGTTCAAGTACTTGGGTGCTTTATTCTTCTTGTTTTGTGGAAGCACATGATGTCTTTTCTTTGTGGAAATGACATCATTTTTGGCCTTGCGGCTAATGTTTTACCCAATAAATTCTGTTTTGCAGAAGAGAGAAGAGATACAATGGATGATAGCTGTGCTGTTTGTGCGGAGACACTTCAATGGGTAGCATATGGCCCCTGTGGCCATCGTGAGGTCTGCTCCACCTGCATTATCCGCCTCCGTTTCATATGTGGAGACTCCCATTGCTGCATCTGCAAGAGTGAATCTAGAATCATCTTTGTCACGAAGGTTAGGCATTGCAAAATGTTATTTTTGCTTTGGTAGAATTGAACTGTCAGACATATTAACATGTATTTTTCATCTATCTTGTTAGATCCAATACAACCCAGGATGGTTTCTTATTAAGAATATAGAGGATGAGTAATGATGTAAAATTATTGATAGAATATATGACAAGTTAGTATGTATAATTACTTATATTTTTCGCCTTTTTTTGAAATTTTTCTTGCTCCTACAATTTCTTTTTCCCCAGGCTTTAGGCAACTATACAAGGATGATTAATGACTTTTCAGTTTTCCCAGCTGATCCAATGGAAGGTCAAGTTGGACTGTACTGGTATCATGAAGGAACACAAGCATTTTTTGACGATCCTGATCACTACAAGATGATAAAGGCCATGTGCAGGCTATCGTGTGGCGTTTGTGATAAGATAAATGAACTAAGGAGTGAAGGGTCAAAGAGAAAAGGGGAGTTTAAAAATGTTGAGCTGCTGAAAAATCATTTATTCCATCGTCATGGGCTGTTCATGTGCAGTCTGTGTTTGGGGGGTCGGAAGGTGAGAAACATTTAGATGACACTATATGATGATGTATAATTGTTGTATCTCATAATGTTGTACTTCTGAGAGAATGATACACTGAGGCTTTGAGGATGGGCATTTTTCCTGTAGATCTTGTATGATAACGCACTACATGATATAATAGTGATCACTCTTGTGTAAGACAGACATGAGATATCATATAAACATAGCTATATTTTCCATTTTTTGGTTATATATTGATGCTTTAGGGGTTTATACAATTTTTTTTTTCTGAAATCTTGCCAAATTCTTCTCTCATTTGGAAGCATGAAGCATGAACCTTGATGCTGATGCTTCATATTTTCACCCTGATGTCTCTGACTTCAAATTTTACTACAGATATTTATCTGTGAGCAAAAGCTATATACTAAAGCACAATTGGATCGGCATACAGAGACAGGTGATTCAGAGGTAGATGGCAGTGAGACCGAAAGAGGTGGATTTAATGGACATCCTATGTGTGATTTTTGTAAAAATCCATTTTATGGAGATAACGAGCTGTACATGCATATGTCTACTGACCATTATACTTGCCATATGTGCCAAAGGTAACATGTTCTGTTTATGCAAAGGTAACCTGTTCTGTTTATGCGAAGGTAAGTTTTAGCGAACTTACATCCACTACATTTTCAATGCAGGCAGCATCCAGGACAATATGAATACTATAATAAGTATGATGACTTGGAGGTAAATTATTTTCCATTCCCAACTGGTTATTATTCATGCTTTGCAAGTACAAATTCATCATTGAGATTGGCTTCTCAGTTGACATGACATCCTATTTTGCAGAATCATTTTTCTCAAGCACATTTTTTATGCAAGGATGAGGACTGCCTAACAAAAAAGTTTGTTGTTTTTGCAACTGAGTCTGAGATAAAGGTGATATTTTAGTGCATATCAACTTGGTCTTTATCCATCTCCTTTCTGTTGTTAGTTCTTGAATATAAGGCAAACATATAGTTGATTTTTCTTGCCATGTTATGTTGAGGTTATGCTCACTTGAGTTTATATCTGCAGAGGCATAATGCCAAGGAACATGGAGGGAACATGTCTCGCTCTAGGCGTAATATTGCTCTTCAGGTTTGTATGTGATATAGTTGATGTGGCGGTTATCACTCTTAGTTTTTTTCCCCTTGCTTTCTTTGTTGTGTCCATTCCATTATAGGTATTTTATAGCCATCTTCTGTATCCACTTGCATCCTCATTTTTTCATAGATCTTATATGATACAGATTTAATTGTGTGCTTGCTTATTCTTTATTAAAAGCAGATACCAGTGAGCTTCCGGTTTAGGAGAAGTAATGAGCAAGAACTTCATGGTAGAGGACATGGTTCTCGTTTTGATGCTGCAGACAATCAACTTTCCTTGGCCCTTCAAGCTAGCCTTGATACAGCCACCGTGGAAAGGTGTCATAATACATCCTCTAGTACCCAAGAAGTTTTTGTTCGCCAAGAAACAAATGAACTTGAAAACTATTGTTGGTTCTTTTGAGTCATTGGCTACTGCAGAATCTGAGCCATCTTCAAGATGCTCTCATGAATTAAGAGAAAACTCCCGGAATGAACTACAACAAGAATCAGCCTTCCCTCCACTTCCGGTGGCTCAAAGTGACAGGCGATTTAGAAATGGTTCAGAAGGATTGAGTGGTAGTACAATGGCTTCTCGCATACGTCGGCTTAACAAAGTAACAGTCCTGAATTCTTCTCGATCTTGGTCCACCACAAATCGACAACCTAAATCATCTGCCAGTAGTTCACACCAGAAAAAACCCTCTTCGGCCTCTGGGCTCATGTCATCATCTAGCTCTCCTGTATTTTCCCCAAGTAAGACTGCTCCAGTTAGACAAGCTGTAACTACTGGGTTTGTATCATCCAATTTTGCTAGTTCAAGAAATTCAACTGGAACCAGCAAGGTCACCCGCTCTTCTTCACCTCCAAACCTTATCAAGATTGGTTCTTTGAACTCTGATTTTCCTTCTGTTTCTGCTACTCAAACAAATAAAGAACCTGCAAGTAGTCGGAGATTACCAAGGGTTGGAGATGTACACACTGTCAACAAGTCTCTTGTGGAAAAAATCCGTGATGCTTTAGAATCTGATGAGAACAAATTCTCTGCATTTAAAGAAATATCTGCAGAGTACCGCAAGGATATAATTAACACAGAGGAATATCTTGCCTATGTCTACCAGTTTGGCCTGTCACATCTGGTTCTTGAGCTAGCTAGACTCTGTCCTGATGCTGAGAAGCAAAGAGAGCTTGTTGAGACTTACAATTTTAATATGAAGAGCAGTGGTTCTCATGAAATCAATTTGTGTAATGGCAGCAGCAAGTCAAGGAGCAAAAGTTCCAAGAAAGGAAAGGAAAAGTGTGAAGATAATGGAATTAGCAGTTCAAAATATGCTTTGCCAGATTGTCCTATCAACCCTGTGAGGAATTTGCAATCAAATCATAAACCTCCAGTAGAAGATGCAGCAGTCTTGTTGAAGGCTGCTATTCATTCTGCCAAAGGAAAATCAAAGATTTCAATTGAGGATGTAATTCCAGGAAATCAAATGCTGACGGGTCAAAATGGTTTTCAGTCAACTGGTGGCAGCTCAAATAAAAATTTGGGAACTGGGGGAGGAGGTAATAAGCAACGGAAAAAGACTCCAAAGTTTCTCAGAAACCGGCTTGGTAATGATGCTACTGAACTTTCAGAACTTGGTGATTGTGAAGAAAAAAAAGATGGAGACAAGGATCCACCAGAACGGTTGCCAGTGCATGGAGTTTGGCAAAATGGAGGTGGTCATAGACTCGTGAAGATGACCATGAGGGATCATATAAAACAATAATTTATCTAATCCAAGTGGAGAACTACCAGTTTGTAATTATGAGGGCTGGCACCAGATGGAGTATCTCTTTTTGTATGAATGTGCTAGTCTGTTTCCTATGTGGTCTGTATGTTTTCTGCAGCACTAGCAAATACTTGTGTAGATGTTAATGGATGTGTGGCAGCAGATTTTATTTTGAAGTGGCCTTGAAACAGACATGATCTTTTTTGCTTCTGGGTATGCCTAATAGACTGATGATTAGCGTTTCTTATTGTGATTAACAGTTAGACAAGAATGGCTTTAGTTGCCTGGATTTTTATTGTGATTCATTTAATGGCGTCACTTTGAATGCATTGCACATATAATTTGAGTTGAATATGAGCAATCAGAAAGAAAAAAAATGAAAGATTGCCAAGTGTTTTGGCATCATAAGATTTGGAAACCCCAGACAGACTTCTCAAGTCTTGGCATAAAGCAGTATAGCTAGAAGAAATAATCCCCCTCCTGCCATTGATATTCTGAATCTAGGTGAGACTTATTTGATTGATGTTGTTTCTCCTTTTTTTCAATGGTGAAAGAAATAAGTTTCTTCATAAGAACTGAAAACCAAAACAGCTAGAGGTGGGGGTTGGGTTGTACTTTGTGAATCTACAGAATTTTATTTAGAATTTTTTTATGTTGTTTTTCCTTTGATATTTGATCCTACGGCTATAGTCTATATGTTATTATACGTTCATGAAAGTCAAGCATGCGGGGATAGCTCAGTTGGGAGAGCGTCAGACTGAAGATCTGAAGGTCGCGTGTTCGATCCACGCTCACCGCAAAAACCTAACTTTTTGTATTTTAACTTTAGTTATCAAACGGCAGTCTTTGGTGTCGTATTACTCGAAGCTGAGAAACAGAGAGAATGTGACGTGAGGGCAGCGGCAGCATGAAACACAACAAAATCACTATTTTTTTTTCTTCTTTAAAAAAGACAAAATAAAAACCAGTATTTAATTTTCATTGTGAAAGCAAATGCATGAACGAATTAAATAAAAGAAAAGAATGAATTAAGGGAATGTATAAGAAGAGAAGTGAAGAAAAATCACAATTAAAATTTTTTTTTTTTTTTTTTTTTTTTTTTTTTTTGTGACATGCATGCATAATAATATCAAGAACCAGCTTAAATTAGACCAACCATAACCCAACAACCAACTTCACATTGCCATCTTTTTTCTTGTTCTTCTTCCTTTAGTGTAAATCAAAGGAGGGGTTAGGTGGAGACCAGTTGCATTTGCATCATGTCTAGACAACGTGGACTCCAATACTTGGTGAATAATGATACAACCCTACCCATGACCATGATCTTATTAGTTTTAAAATGTAATTAAGTTTATTATTTATGCCCTTTTTTGTGTGATTATATGTGTGTTTTGTTGATTCTTACGCAACTAAGCTATGTCATACCACACCTTTAAGGCTACAATATTAGACCTAATTACCCACCTTGGTTAAAAGCAAAGTAAGTAACTTTTATATTAGATTATCACGCGGGTACCATTAATTGCGCATTTAGCAATCAAATTAAAAGCAAGTCTTCAATTATGTTGATGTTACTTTACTTTATTAACTTCTTTTTCTAATGTTAAAAGAGATATCAAGTTCGAATCCCCTCTTGTTAATTAAAAGAAGAAAAGCCCGCAACATGTAAAATGCGCCTCTTATTAGTTTGTTTGGCAATTGAATTTGATACAAATTGTGAAGTATAAACATGAGCAATCATGCAGCATGCAAAGAGTGTCATGGAATTTACATAATTTTTAATGATCAGCATGTGTGTTTTTCGCTCAAATTCACATCCCGGAGTTGGTGAACCCCCAAATAACCCACCAACCCCATGCACAGACAATATAGTATTAAATAATGAATCAATTCTCTAAATTAGGTGTAAAACAAAATAGAGGCTGCAAATGCAAACTTCCATCAGTAAAGGATCAAAACCAAATCGGACGGTCTGTCGCTTTAGTCCACCGACTCCCTTGAATCCCAGCCCTCAATCCATCCTCATCCAACGGCCACTATCTTCATTCTCATACGTCATAACTAAAAACAAATATTAACCATCAATTCCCACGGATGTAAAACATATATGAAAAATAAGTAATATATTTGTCAATGTGACAATTTGCCAATTTGTCATTGTATATTTAAGCCACCAGACCATCCTCCGTCTATAAATAAAGCCCCGGAGTCTGTGTGTCAGTGTGGCAAAGATTCCAGCTTTCGGGTACCAAGGCACTGTGAACACGCAAAGCTCAGCCCCAGGACTCAGATATTCGCTTAATAAGTAAGCACTAGAGTAAGAGCCAAAAAATTCCATGCAAGGCTTTTGCTTTTCTTGTTTTTCATTTGTAATTTTGCTGCAATTCATTTGGCTTTGTACTCGGCTTGAATTGTCTGTTTTCTGAATTGTTTTTGAACTTTCAAAGCTGGGTTCTTTTTTCTTTGAGATTGAGTTTCTGGGTTTTTCTTATTATTTGGGTGCTCTTATGTTATGTGTTCAATATGCGTTTGTGATGAAGTCTCTGTTTCAAGTTTAAGTGGAAATGAGCAAAGTTAGTTTGTGAGTTAAATAATTTTCCTGAGTCAGTTTGAACTTGGCAGTTTGGCAATTTTATTCTGAAGTTATATTTCTTTGTTTTGTTTGTAATGAGGACATGTGAATGGATCTGAATATATTCATAGAAGATAAATGAGTCAAAAGTAAATGTCTTTGGCCCCTAATTTTGTGATTAGTTGAGAATTTGAGAGTGGATGGTGATATAGTTCTGTCTGACTTTGTATTCTTGTTTCTTTGCTTGAAAGTCTTGTGATGTAGTTAAATGGTTTTCCTAGTTTTGCACCAAACTCAATTACTTGCTTTCATTTTTTCTTTTTGTGGACAAATTTTACTTGCTTACATTACTATTGCTATGATCGCTTGAACTGGAAGAGTGGTACTTTCCAGCTCTCTAGATCTGAGTCCATATTTGTGATAATTTCTATTATTTATGGTTAACGGGACTGATTCTCTTCCTGATAGAGTTTTTAGCTTTTTTCTTTAATGGGTGTGTGATAGAAGCTTGTCTGATGACCTTTTCTTTAGTATAGTTGCTTTGGAGGAAAATTTTATGAAAACTCTCTTCCCATACTTTTAATATAGATTATTCATTTACTTTTGCATCTCTATATGTCACTTAGCTACTGCTGACTTATATGCTGAGGTACTTACTAACTCTAATATCGGTTCGTTTTCAGCTTGTAAAAATGGACACTTTCCTATTTACTTCTGAGTCTGTGAATGAGGGACACCCTGATAAGCTCTGTGATCAGATTTCTGATGCAGTGCTTGATGCCTGCCTTGAGCAAGATCCTGACAGCAAAGTTGCCTGTGAGACTTGCACCAAGACCAACATGGTCATGGTCTTTGGAGAGATTACAACCAAAGCCAAAGTAGACTATGAGAAAATTGTACGTGACACCTGCCGTACGATTGGATTTGTTTCAGATCATGTTGGCCTTGATGCTGACAACTGCAAGGTCTTGGTTAACATTGAGCAACAGAGCCCTGATATCGCTCAGGGTGTCCATGGCCACCTCACCAAAAGGCCTGAGGAAATTGGTGCTGGAGACCAGGGTCACATGTTTGGTTATGCCACTGATGAGACCACTGAGCTTATGCCTCTAAGCCATGTCCTTGCTACCAAGCTTGGTGCCCGTCTCACCGAAGTTCGCAAGAATGGGACCCTGCCATGGTTGAGACCCGATGGCAAAACACAAGTCACTGTTGAATACTACAATGACCATGGGGCTATGGTTCCAATCCGTGTCCACACTGTTCTCATTTCTACTCAGCATGATGAAACTGTTACTAATGACGAAATTGCTACCGACCTCAAAGAACATGTCATTAAGCCTGTTGTTCCTGCGAAGTACTTAGATGAGAAGACTATTTTCCATCTTAACCCATCAGGTCGGTTTGTCATCGGTGGGCCTCACGGTGATGCAGGTCTCACTGGCCGCAAAATCATCATTGACACCTATGGTGGTTGGGGAGCCCATGGTGGTGGTGCCTTCTCTGGCAAGGACCCTACCAAGGTAGACAGGAGTGGTGCCTACATTGTTAGGCAGGCTGCTAAGAGCATTGTTGCCAGTGGTCTTGCTCGCAGGTGCATAGTGCAGGTCTCATATGCCATCGGTGTTCCTGAGCCACTATCAGTGTTTGTTGACAGTTATGGCACGGGAAAAATTCCGGACAAGGAGATTCTGAAAATAGTAAAGGAGAGCTTTGATTTCAGGCCTGGAATGATTGCCATAAATTTGGATCTCAAGAGGGGTAGGTATTTGAAAACAGCTGCTTATGGACACTTTGGTAGAGATGATCCTGACTTTTCATGGGAAGTGGTGAAGCCCTTGAAGTGGGAAAAGCCTCAAGAGTAAAATATGTGCTTCTCTCTCTACTTGCAGTTGGTCAATAATCTGCTTTTGAAGTCAGGAGTCTCGCTTTTGCTTGCTTGTCATTGTGTTTCCCTTATTTGTTTTTTCTTTTCAAGTATCTCCATTTGGCATGTTTGGATCACATTAAAGAAGATGTATTGAATTTTGAGTCTAGTGGATGAAAACATGTAAAAAAGCTGATTTCTGTATTAGATTGCTGTGCGCAAGAAAGCATCAGCTGCAAAGCAACATCAATGTCTTGATACATTTGTTTGGTAAACAACGAAATTATGATTATTGATCCATTCGTTTTCTTAAAATTTTAATTTCTTGTTCCTTCGTTAATTTGGCTCAGAGCCTAGAAATATTCCATCCAAATGGCTGAGAGGAAAAGAGAAACATAATTTATCTAACATTACAAGCTTAGAACTTAAAACATATCTTCTAGTAGGCTATAATAGTTTTGAAAATTATTACCAACTGACAGGTTTACATACAAACAGATGGCTACCTAGTGCATATGACATTTTCCTCATCTATGGTAAGAGGGGGTTTCACCTCCTCTGGAAGTTCAACCGCCCTATGCAGAACGCAAAAATGGATGCGAAAGCAATGGGAAAAGCAATGAGAACCACTGCAACCAGAGCCAACTGATCATGGTGAAACCCAAAGTAATCCTTTAAGAAGCCGGACACTGTTTTGTTTTCCCCAAATACTATAACCTCCTTGTTTATGTCTCCATATTGTGAAGTAAGCAAACCGTGTAGTGACCAAGATGTTGGAGTCAGGTAATACAACCAAATCCACCATTTAGGAATTTGCTGCAAGAAGAACAACGGATCCCAAGTCAATTTTCTATATGTTACTTACTATGTAAATACTTTGTTCCAAAAATCTGGACAAGGGTCATTGGTTTGGCTTTCGGCAGAGAAAGAGTAGGCTTACCGGTCTAGGAATCAGAAAACCGGCAAACAGATTGTATAACGTGTAGAACACCGACGATAGAATTGCAGCTATCATGAAGTTTGGCGTCAACGACACGAGCATTAATCCCATGTAGTTGTGGTACATCAATGAACAAAACACAGCATAGAAGTACCAGAAAATCTTATATGCTGATCCATAATATCCAATCATGGGATATGTGATAATCAGAAATATGACTGCCTGGATAAATAGATAGGGAACTTCTACTGCCACCTACGAGGATATCAATGATTAGTGTAAGTAACAAATTACCAAAATTTGAGAGGTTTATTGAATTTAATTTTGTTGTCAGTTTAAAGTCATGGATAAATACTTCTAAGAAAATTGTACCTGTGCAAGTGAAAAAGCCCATGGAGAGTACATCCCTGCAAATTTCTCCCTATACATAACAGTTCTCTCTGTTGCAACATATTGCAGAACTGTTGAGCAGTTATTTATGCCCAAGAAGATGACGCCGGCGTACATTGAACCCAGTATGTTAAATAAGTTTTGCTGGTTGGTTCTGAAAGACAGAAAAGGAAAATGACATGATATGAGGGCTGACAAATTAGATATGAGTGAAGCTCCTATACCAGTGTAAAAAATAACATGATATGAGGGCTTACATATGCTGTCCTTGGTTCCAAAATAATGCCCCAAAAATTATGGATGATACAACCGTATGCATGATGCGCATCAAGTTGTATGGAGGACTCCTCCAATAAGACAAGTTCTGCTTCCATAGACAAGATTTGAATTGTATCCATCCATTTTGAGAAAAGCGGGTAGAAAAATGCAGATCTCTTGAACCAGTAGGTGGGGTGCTCAACTGTCTTACAAGCTCTATATTGTTCCTGCAAATGGGATAATAGGAAATGAGTCACATTGCAGCTGCTTGTCATAATTAGACCATTAAATGCTCCTTCTATTCTAGAAAGATGGGATCAAGCAGATGGATCACATCTTCTGCCAATGCTAGTTTATGATCCTCATAGGTGATAGAGGCTCCTTTGCATTGCCATTATGTTTTAAACAATAAACTTTTTTTGGACACTACTCAACACCAGGACTATTAATTTCCGTAACTGTACTCACTCATGCAAAGAAGATTTTCTGTATATTTGGGAAAAATCAACACCAAGTTCAGCTTCAGCTGATGTAGAAGTGACCTCGAGCATCCACGTTGCTGGATTGTAGTTATCTCTAATTTTATGAACACCAGGAATACTCTGCAAGAAAATTCATAAATGAGAAGATTAAGAACCTAAGCTTTGAAAAACTTTATATTACTTAAAGCAGCTAGAACTTCTGAAATCAGAACTATTGCAGACTAACCTGAAAATATTCTATAACCCTACTTGAGTGCTGGCCCAATGGTCCAGAGTAGATTATACGTCCTCCAGTTTTCAAAAGAATTAGCTACATTCAAAGGAGAAATTACTAACAAACAAAAATCTTTTTCAATTGCATTCTAATATCAGAGTTTTATCTGTAAACATCCTATTTGTTTTACCTCATCAAATGCCTCAAATATATCGATATTTGGTTGGTGAATGGTGCATACAATTGTTCTTCCTGTATTAGCTACATTCTTCACTGCTCGCATGACTATTGCAGCAGCTCTTGCATCCAAACCAGTTGTAGGTTCATCCATGAAGATTATGGAGGGGTTTGAAACAAGCTCCACAGCAATTGTAAGCCGCTTACGCTGCTCAGTTGATAGACCACTAACACCAGGTATGCCAACCAAGGCATCTTTTATCCCATCAAGCTCAATGGTCTCAAGGACTTCATTCACAAACTCCTGTTAGAAATCCCACAGCAGCTTTAAACAAAAGTATCTCACTAATCAATTCAGAGCCAAACTTTGATTGGATATCTTTACATATAGGTCTTACAGCTTTTGTTTTTGAGTCAATCTGAGACACCAGACGCAGCCAAGCAGAAAAGATCAGAGATTCTTCTACGGTGATTTGTGGAGAATGTACATCGGTCTGCTCACAGTAACCCAATATCCTAGCAAATGTTTCTTGAACCTTGGGATACCCACCAATCTTTATGTCTCCTTCAGTGTAGCCACTAGTCTTTCTGCCTGCCAGAACATCAAGAAGAGTTGTTTTCCCAGCTCCACTGACACCCATCAATGCTGTAAGAACACCAGGCCTAAATGCTCCTGTAACATCACTCAGAAGCTGGAGTTTTTTCTGATTAAATCCACGTTCCCTGGTTTCCTGAAACACAAATACAAGAAAGAAGGAGATTAACATAATGTGATGTGAAAAGCTTTTGATCCTGCAACCACCAGAACCTTAAGGAAAAGAACACTTAATATGCATGGTTACCAAAGGAATAACATAATATTGCACATCTTGGAACACCAGTGTCAAGGGAGTAAAAGGTAAGACCATCCTGCCTGATAATTAAGAAGACAAAGGCAACTGTAAAATTGCTGCAGAATATTAATGTGACAAATAAACAGGAACAAAAACAGAAACACGAATTTACGAAACCTTTATTGGTGGTTTTAGGAGGATGATTTGCCAACTTTTCTTCTACATTGGCATCACTGAGGTAGTCATCAGCTCTGTGAATTTGGGAGAGATTTTCATGTGAAATGATACTACGAGATGATCCTGGAGCTGAGTGTGAGCAAAAATGGGATGAATCAATGTGTTTCAATTCAAGTACCACTTCTTGAATTTAAAATAGGATAATAGGAAATTCAGCTTACACTTCAGGAAACTTAATGACAAGGTGTATCCGATGCTGAAAACTATTGAAAACCCAAATAAGGCTCCAAGTGATATCCAGTAGAGATATCCATCAAAGTTTAGCCCACGGCTTCCAAGTACTTCTCTCCCAATAGTAGTGTTTGTGGATAGCATCTACAGATAAAAAGCAAAAAGCATCTATGTGCTCTGAGTAGTATGATTATTATTTTTGTAAATGCCATAGAATAAGATCAAATCTTTTCTAGGTCTCAGTTGCCTTAAATTAGGGGAACTAATAGTAATGAAATGATATGCTCACCTTTTGCCATCGAGGAGAAAGAAACTCATTTACAGAGAGGCCTATCTCTCCATATGTCAGGGGGGAAACCCAGAAACCCCACTCTAACCAAGCAGGCATGGAAGCTGCAAGCAACAACATAACTAATTCAAAAAAAAATTCAGCTTTGTTTTTTTTTAATTGACTGGAGAATGAGGGAAATAATCTTACGTTTTTGGATAACAAATCCACTAAATAGCAAGAGAAACAATATTGCAAAACTACCAGCTGTCATAGTGGCAACCATAGTCTGAAAGAATGAGGCTAGGAAGCGAAACATGGATAGTGATGTTAAGTGAACGGCAAAAAGTAGCAACAACTGGCAGAAGAACCTAAAACAAAATCACAGATGATGATGAAGGCTCAGAGTCACAACCTCAGAATATGAAATTTCTTGTGGTAAAAGCAAACCTTTAACTTGAACTCACCTCTGGGCCTCAGGACTGTATCCAATGACATAATAAGTAAGAGAAGTCCAAACCAGGGCTTCCACAAATGAAACAGGAACTTTTAATAGTGTTGCAGGAACTGCATAAGCCCAAGCTGGGTAGAAACACAGGTCTCTCTGTTTGTAGAAAACTTCCAGTCTTTGAAGCGTCATCGACATCTCAGGAATTCCATCGACGAGAAGTACGGTGAGAGCAAAGAACAAGGCACCCATGTAGTAGTTACCATGCAGAACATCAACATCCATTCGAGTCCTCAAAAATACAGTCATCGTAATAAATGCAATGATGATAAGCTGCAGTGAAAATGTCTTATGCTTCAGAATCCCCAAGTCCTTAGACATAGATAAAAGTGTTTTTACCACCAAAACAATGAGTTAAGAATTGTAAATGCAAAAGCACAAATGATGACCTGAACTGTCTTGAACACATAGATAAAAGAATTCCTCCTCATTAGAAGAAGTTCTCTTGATGCACAAGCTCTAAAGAGTTCCCATTTAGAAAGAGAATACACACTAAAGGAAAGAGAATTCTTATGGTTTTGGGGCTCATCATCTGTCTGTATGAGATCTTCATCTAGCTTCTTCCCAAAAGAAGAAGCCTTGAATTTTTTTGAGAACATATCAATGGTTACATAGTTGTGAGGTTCCGCTTGGTACCAATAGTGTGATTGATCCTTTTTAGAGATTACCTGAAGAACCAAGATGTTAACTATTGCTTTAATTTGAAAAATGAAAGCATGGAAATAAAAGCATCATAAGCTGTAATTCACTTGCCTCTTGAATGAAATCAGCAACCCCCTTCCTCTCAGGACACTTAAACCCGCAATCCTCAAAAAATTCCAAGACATGATCCCGCGGACCATGATAAACAATCTTCCCTTCTGACATTAATATAAGGTCATCAAAGAGATCAAAGGTCTCCGGTGCAGGCTGAAGAAGAGAAACTAGCAAAGTAGCATCTGTTATATGCACCAGCTGCTGAAGACAAGCAACAATCTGGAATGCAGTGGAACTGTCCAAGCCATTTGTTATTTCATCCATGAACAAAGCTTTCGTGGGACCAATGATCATCTCCGCTGCAAAGTTTTAATCGACACCAGGTATGTCAAAGTGGATGTTGGAAGTTAGTAACCAGTAAAACCAGTGAATGTTATGGATTTGAGCACATTGCATAACCTTCTATAACTATCAGTTTCTCTATTTGCATTACCTGTTGTCAGTCTCTTCTTTTGTCCACCAGAGATACCTCTTCTCATGGCATCTCCAACCAGAGTGTCAGCACATATATCCAGTCCAAGGATCTGCAAAACCATGGCAAATATTGTAACACTCTGAGAAGCATTTGTGTTGATTATAGGAAAGAAGATTAACTTCAACTCTGTTGAAGGAGAATGACCTTCAGTATGTAGTCTGTCTGAAGGGTTCTTTTCAGTCCTTGAACAGAAATTGCCTGTCATAAGTTTGACCAATGTCATAATCAACAATAGGGTGCATAACCTTGATGAAAAACACAAACTGCAAGATACCATGATCTTGTAAACATGGAATGAATATGTCAGTAAAGCTTGAAGTACCTTCATGTAGGTATCTACATCTGGATCTGGAATAATTCCTGCCTCCTTCTCCCTTTCACTCACTTCCAGCATAATATCTTCGTAGGCAGAAAACATAAAATCACTGTCCTTCACCATTAGGTTGTATACAACTAAACCGAATTATCTTAAACTCAACAAAACCTACCAGCTCGGCTTCCAATACCCTGACAGCGGGCTGAAAAATCAAGTGTTTCCCTCACAGTCATCTCAGGAATGTGCACGTCGAGTTGGCTTATATAAGCTGAAGTTTTCTGAGGAACAAACTCCCCTAGTTTGTGTCCATTGTAGGTAACTTCGCCTGACCACTATTAGAGAAAAAGTCGGACAAAACAAGAAACTATGAAATAGGAAAACAAAAATTTGCATCACAAGTCACAGCTTCGCACTACTTCCACATTACTAATGGTTGTTTTTGGTCCTCAAATGGGTCATCACTCATTACAAAGATACTCAAGTATAAAGATATACTAGAAAACCTTGAGGGATTGGTCCAGATTCCCTGATAGCGCCTTTAAAAGGGTGGTCTTCCCACATCCTGGGGGACCAAGCAGTAAAGTTAACCTGCAACAGAACCAATTATCACCAAGACGAGAAATCCACCAAGGTAACAACCATTATAATGAACTTAGCTTAGGTAAATTTAGTAGACTGAAGGATGCTAGCCTACCTTCCAGGCTTTATTGTACCCCTAAAGTCTTTAATAATGCTTATCTTGGCCTCACGAGACTTCAAACCAGGAAACTTGGCAAAAACCTGTACGGAAATCTTAAATAAATTCTGGTTGAACTTGTAATATAACCTATAAGCTGCCATATTTGAAAGTGCCAAAAAAAAAAATCATATCCAAATTATATATAAAATGTTGTACAGTAATAATGGGTTTGACTTTGTGAATGGTTGAGTTGTAAAACTACTCTTGGCCATGATGTGTGCTTACAGAAAGCATGCTTTTGACAGAATTCCATAGAGTTGGGAGGGGTTTTCCATGAACCACCTCACACACTGCTTCCACACACAGATCCTTATACCTCACCTCAACAGTGGGCAATTCTACGCCAACCCTACAAGAAGTACGAATCCAAAGAAGTTATTAGTTACCACATGCTTGGACAGAGGAACTGATATGAGTATAAACATTGAAAAAGGGGAAAGAGAAGCATCAACAAGTCGGAAAATTGGAAAACAAATTAGGAATAACATCCATTTTCTTAGTAAGTAAAAACCAATAAATAGCAACATCCTTGTCTGAAATTTAAGCTTTGCCTAAGCATCAATGGCATATACCACTAAAATTAGTGCCCGCAAGTGCAGCATCAACTCCATTTGAATTTATCGTAGTTATATATTTATGTTCCTACACATATACATATATGACCATGAGGCAAAAGAGAAGAAAAGGCTTACCTGTCAATCCTATTTCTAATTTTACGCAAGAGACGAAGGTTGTCATTCTCAATGTGTTTGATGAGCTTCTCTATGAACAGATGTCGTTCCAGAGCTCGAAGCTTGGTAACATCAACCACTCGCTTTCCTTCACTATCAGCCTCATTTTCATCCTCACCCTGATCAAACAAAGATGATTTCAATCGTTCAAATGTTGGCAATCTCTCAATAGCTGCCCACTGCTCAGCATATTGAGCATCAGAGTCATCTTTGGCAGAACTCAATACTGAATTGCCTCGGAAACTGGAGGAGCGACTCTGAAATGATAACCTAAGGCTTCTTCCAAACTCTTCCAACTCAATTCTTAGTGACTCTATCTCATCTCTGCCAACCATCTGAGCCATAGTCGTTAAGTTAGAGAGAACTTTGAAGAAAAACTAAGTGGAAGTACATGTAAATATGCAAGATCAATTGTTGATTTATATATACTAAGACTATAAAGGTTGATGAAGTAAGCTGATGCATCATTCTTATTCTTGGTATCCAAGGAAATTGAAAATGCTGTCTCTGAGAAAACATGTTACTTTAGGCAAACAACACATTTTGTAGTAAATGTCACGTATCAAGTCACAGATGCTGACACAATATATTTGAATATCAATCGCATAACTGCTTGCAAAGTAAGCATTCTATGATGTAGTTTTGCAGGGATCAAACTTGCCATATCTCAAAAGTAGTTATTCCTCCGTTGGCTATCCACTAGGTCCAAGTCAATGTGATAAAAATATTGAGCTGACTGATTTATTGGAGTCTTAATAGAGAAGAATACTTGGGAAATTAGGATTGTAGTGGAATAATAGGTCATTCATGGGGCCTTTGATGACTGCCCTTCTTGTGCAAGAAATAAAAAACATTAAACTACGTCAATATTACTTAATTATATCAATAGCAATTTGACCAGAACAAAGATAAGTTAATTTAGAAACATTGTCTTGCTTGGCAAGATATGCATGATAACAATGATATGTCATTGTCTCTTTGTTGCTAATTTCCCGTTTTGGTACTGTTGGATCTCTGGATCATGAATTACCATTTACAGAAATACCATGTTCTTATGTGAAAAATATTGCAGTAAAACTCTGTTAAGTAGACCCCTTTTGGAGTATCAGGAACCAACAAAAAGATAAACCCCAGAAACCATCAACTAAACCCTAGTGATTAAGTTAAACATACTCCCCTACAGCATAATCCATACCTTAAAATCATCAGACAGCAGCTAAGCTCATGATCAGCGGTGAAATGCACAAAAAAGAGCCTGCCCTGCAACCAAACATGTATGTAGATGTCAACCAACATAAGGGTCAAGAAGATTTCTAATTCTGAGAGATGTAGTGTAGTGTAGGCACAACCTCACCTGACTAGAACAAAACAACTTCTTGGGCTTTCTGAAAAGTAAAAACAATTACTGATATGCCTCTAGTAACCTATAAATAAAAAAAGTTGGCTGCCTGCCTCTTAACAATAAAGCCAGAAGACAACCAAGACAATGGAAATTATATCAAATACCATCTGTCCAAAACAACTACCTGAGCATGTACCTATTTTCACCTTGGCCTTTCATGGCCCTTAGAATGAAAGAAAGGGTGTTAAATCATGGAAGATTCTGTGTCCCCTTAACCTGGGCAGGATGTAAAACCTACTTGGATGCGCATATAGCCTAGTACTGATTGGATGTTTGTTTGGGTTCAACCCAAAGCAACTGCGAAGCACAATGAATGTCCATTTTCTTGGTGCCACAGAAAAGCTCATACATAGCTATGATTGTTGACAGCAACATTAGACATGTTTACCTTTCTTTCTTTATCTCTTTTCCTTGGTGCTCTCTTAGTCTATTTTGCACTACCTTATGTCCTTTAAACAGGCTGTACCTTGTATCCAAAATTGTCCAATTCAATTTGGTTAGTCAAAAGTAGTAGTCTGAAGCATGTTAATGGAGATGAACTTTTGTCCATGCCAGAAAACTGAATCAACCAACATTCATCTAGTTGACTTCATTAGAGTCATTATTTATAAAACATAGTCGGTTCTTTTACTAATTTCTGAGCTTGTCGTGGCTGCAGCGTTCTTAACACAAACACCACCAAATTTGAAGTGGTGGTGCTTGTCGTGACTTCATTAGCGTTCTAACTGAAAAAAGGGAGCATTTCATCCAACAAATTTGAAGAGCAATCATTCTGTACATAGCCCCCATTGTCTTGGGTTTTTCACAAACACCACCACTTTGATACACAAACAATATATCTCTCCATCTACCAGAAAGAAACAAAAGGAAAAATGAAGGGAGAACATAAAAGGAACACAAGGATCATCTCTCTCCCCCATCAACCCCCTCTCCCCTGCCCTAATAGCATCAGATCAAACAGACACCCAAGAATTTGGGAGTTGAAAAAAATTAAGAATCACCCTCACTTTCTATATTTCTGAGATTCTCAACTGAACCACTGGCTTAATTACGTCCGCTGATAGCCTTTGCTTTCTGATCTTGAACCTGGATAATCACTCCGATCAGTATCTGAATTTTCCCTCTGGGAATCAATGTCCATGCTGCCTGCTTCAGTTCTTCGGTGTCTTCGATCCTGAACATCAAGAAGAAAACTTATATTCAAAAGACAGCTGAAAATCATCAAATCAAATGTCCAGCTATTGGTTGACCAGTAAATGTCAATCAGCTGGGATCCTATGAGGACCAACACCATAATGGATTAGAGCATGGGAACACAAAAGGTAGTTGTAGAGAAAGGGATGTGGATAGAAATTTGAGCAATTAAAATGCATGAGATAATCAATTGATTAAATCTTTTGCATGGACAAATATTTTGTTCATTTGAATCAAATTTTGAATAATTTATTCCAAGCAAGACAGTACTAGAGTCTCATTCACTGAAAAAAAGGTAACACCAATTCAGGAGACAGCTAAAAGGGTCTAGAATGCAGATGTAACAAGGACAAAGTAAGAGGCAATGTGGTTAGTTAGAAATGGAATCAGATATTTCATACTGGGATTCAGAAGCAAACAAGATCAAAAGTATTGCAGGTTCATATCCTTCTTCAGACATAATAAATTCAAATTGCAATCCATCAGAAATTGTGTTTCAGAGAGAGAATGAGAATCTAACCTCTCTTGGTATGGGATATTCCTCGGACTCGAGCATACGGACAACTTGGCCCATCTTGGGTCTTTTTTCAGAATCTGGATCAACACACCTCAAAGCAGTCAAGAGAGCTCGTTTTAGGGCTCTTGTTGATGGTCTCACCTCAATGTTTGGGTCTACGACTTCTTCAGACCTTCTGCTTCCAACCATCATTTTTAGCCAATCGACCAGATTTACCTGGGGAGCATTAAAACTGCATGTCAAACAAAACTCCACAAAGTTGCAATATTATAATTTTATTGACATTTCTGTCTGTAGAGTATCCTCTACAAAATAGAGATAAGACATTAACGCAATGAACATGTGTACAGTTGCAATATTATAACTTTATTGCCATTTCTGTCTGTAGAGTATCCTCTACATAATTCTGCACTCCTAAGTAGATTTAGACTGTAAACTGTCCAATGGTAACTGTCTACCATACACTATTGAATACATCTTTTAAGGGGCATTCACTACTTAATACATAATAAATCCAACTTGCATCAAGCTTCTTCATGATTCTATGTTGACAAGAGTCTGGTATTTAGGATGGTTAGACAAGTTTCTTTGCTATTGATTTTTATAACTTGCGCATACCTCATGTGCAGGGCGACCATAGTCCACAGGGTCTCTTCCAGTAATTGCTTCCAAGAGCAAAACCCCGAAGCTATACACATCGCTCTTCTCATTCAAAAGTCCGGTATTAGCATATTCAGGGGCGACATATCTGAAATGTTTTTTGGGAAGCAGGGACAAGAGAAATAATTAATCCTCTAGCATCAATTAATCGATTTATTCTGAGCATCTAAAACTGAAAGAAACAGCATTGGTCAGGGGCCAAAAAAGGGTCATGCTCAAGAAATAATACTAACCCAAAGGTTCCCATAACGCGAGTTGTCACATGACTTGTCCCCGCACCCAGCAGCTTGGCCAGGCCAAAATCAGATACCTTGGCATTGAAGTCTTCATCAATCAATATGTTGCTAGATTTAATGTCTCGGTGTACAACTTTTGGTTCAATGGCCTCATGCAAATAGGCAAGACTGCGACAAGTATTATCACATTAAATGAGAACTAGAAAACCTGGAAAAAAATTTGTACGCAATTTGACTTACGCTTTTGCAGTTCCAAGGAGAACCTTTATGCGTGCTTCCCAAGTGAGATATCCATGCTGACGCATTGCTCCATGAAGCCATTGCTCCAAGTTTCCATTGTTGACATACTCATAGACCAAAATCCTGAAATTTTGAAATGCAAATGAGACCAACTATTGTAGTTCAGGTGTTACTTCAACAGCAGTAGGCTATTATATACTCAATACTGAGAGATCAATACACCTCTCAGATATTAAAGCCACAAAAGCTTCTTTGTTTCCACCTAATTTATGGGGACCTACACGTACTTTGATATCTCATTTTTTTCATAAGAAAACAATTCAAAACATAGAGTCAATTAGTTAGTTCATCAGACTTAATAAACTTTAAAAAAAATAGGTACCTATGAGTCCCTTCGACGCAGTATCCCAGTAGACGAACCAAATTCTTGTGGCGCACATGGCCAATTGCTTCAACTTCCACCCTAAATTCTTTCTCTGCTTGGCCTCTAAAGACGTTAAAACAGTTCAAGTTAAGACAAATTCATGGAAACAAGAATGGTGAATGGACAAACCACAATAGAGTCGGGATATTAGCAAACTCACAGGTTGTTTAGGATCTTTTTAACTGCCACTGGAGTCCCATTGATGAGATTTCCCCTGTAAACAACTCCATATCCGCCCTCACCAAGGACATTTTCCTTTGAAAACCGATTTGTTGCAAGCTCAAGGTCCCTCAATGTAAACCAGTGGCCCCAACCCAAGTGAGAGAATTCAGGCAGGCCAACTAGAGGAGACGGGGCAGTTATTGGATACGATGAAGAAGCCTTATACACTGTAACAGTGCTGGAACTCCCTTCTTCTCCAGATTGGTACAGGCCACCATCGTTTTCTAATTGATTAAATGAACCTGACTGGCTGCTATTCTCTCCATTCTTCGATTTGCCCATACCCAAATGGAGCATGATCTTATCTGATTCTTTGTCACTGGATTTGTCGTGAATGGTGAGAAGAATTCCATCACGAGGAGCAAATTCACTTGCAGATACTTGTTCCACTCGAACTTCCTTAATTTCTTTTGAGACAGTTGGGATTTGACTAAGGGGAATCTTGTCCCTAGCTTTCCTTGATTTCTTACGTGAAGTAAGGCACATTGATAGCACAGAGAGGATAATTATGATAAATAATGCAACAGCTATTCCAATTACTTCCCAGACCTTCAGATTAAAGAAAGCTTCCTTGGATAACTCTGCTTTCAGATCGGAGGCCATTCTATCAGATACCAAAAACCCTACACATAGCAGAATCTCATATTAAGATTGCTTCTGATTCATCATTTATATCACTGTCAAAATATTTTCTTTCAAATCCATTTGCATCAACTAGAGATGATAAAAATTACAACCCGGTACTTTTCACCAATTCACACAAAAAAAAAAACTGAAAAAAAAAAAAAAAAAAAAAAAAAAAAAAAAAAAAAAAAAAACCCACCCCACCACCAACAATAAAGAGGTACGGAGGAGGTCATATCAAACCAAATAAGAAAGAAAGCAGCAGGCTTAAGCAGAAACGTCAAATTATTAGTAGACAAACCAAAGCAGTTCAATAAACATATGGACAGAACATAATGCATATACAATAACTCAATAAACAAATTCATTCTCTGTGGGGGGTGAGAATGTGAAAGTAGACGAATGTTAATAATTGAAAAGAAAATTTCAACCTCTCACCTCTGTGTGATGGAACTCAAAAGAGCAACCTTGAAATGCCAGATCTTTGAAACCCCTTCAACATTCCTTGTCCTAAGACAAACAATTAAACACACAATTCCAGATCTCTGACCAAGAAAAACTCATAAACATATATCAAGAAAGCCTCTTTAAGAAACCCAAATGAGCCCAGTGCTCAAAACTAAAATTAAAAGTTAAAAAATAAAATATACAGCCAATAAAACTGGAATTCCTATATGGGTTTTCTCTGTGGGGCAAATGTGTGTCTGAATCTAAGTTGAGATGGAGCTTTCTGGCACCAGCACTGAGCCATCTCAAAAACCCAAACCCAAAAATAACAAGAAAGATCATGTACCTGTGTAAAATGGTAGAGGGACATGGAAAAAACTGATATTTGTGAGTGGTGGGGATGTAAGAAGAAGGGATGGAGTTATCAGTGGTAGGTGGTGAGTTTGGAGTCTTCAGACTGAGATGCCTTCAAAAACATAACACATACAGTAAAACAGAAGCATGGAATTCTGTGATGTAAAGGTCTTGAGATTTTCCTGATTTGATATGAACACGACTGATTGATTACCAGTAATTTACTTTAATATCTCTCTCTTTTTCTCCATTATTGTGTATTTATTTATTAGAATTGATTGCTGTATTTGTGTGCTTGCTTCTGTTGTGAATTGAGTTGGGTGTGTGAATCTTAGATATCACTGTAGTCACAGCTCTCAGGTTTTCTGCTCTTTTGTTACATCTGTTGTCATTTTTAAATATTAAAATAAAAAATAAAAAAATTTACCTTTTTTTCAGATTACAATTCTCGAATCTCAGCCGTTACTTGGTCAAGTCAAACACCTCCCTCTGTGTTCATAGGTTACAAGTTATTTATAAAGGCAACCAACTGTTGGTATATGCAATGCAAGTACGAGCAATTTAGTGAAATTTGGTATGTAAATGCCATCTGTCACCAGTTGTCTTCAACCTTATCAAAAACACCAGTTGTTTTTTTTTTCAACTTGAACAGAGATTGCTTTTCTTCTTGCTCTGTTTCTACTTTGTAATGGTTTCTAATCTCCCACCAAAATATACTCCAGTTCATAACTGCCACTTCAAATTTGAGTTCTTGCCAAAAGGATTATAAATCTCAGGTTTGATTGTAATAAAAATATATATATATTAGCATGCTCTTAACTATTTGAATTACGCATGATTGTCAAATTATTCATCCAACGACATCACAAGTTCCTATCGTCCTATGAACTAAGAAAGACGAAGGGGTGGGTCACGGGACAACAAGGCATGTGGTACCACCACAAGGAAATTCGGTTCACCATAAATACTGAAATAAGAAAAAAAACAAATACAAAATATACAAAAACAGTATAATAAAAAACTATTGAAATGCAGCATGCTACAGGGATTATATATATGTTTTTTCTTTGTGGTTTGTCAATGCTATTGGGAATTAGTTGTTATGCAAAAGCAGTAGTAGAATACTATTATATCATATAGTTTTCAGTGTGCCTCCCTGAAGCTTGAAGAGAGAATGTGCTTCCCCTCTTGGCTGCAAATTTAAAACTTGTAACACCACCCACATTCTTTTTTTTTTTTTTTTTTTTTTTTTTTTTTTTTTTTTTTTTTTTTTAGTCAATCAATGCTAATAGGTTTAATAATTAAATAAAACTATATTTAAGAAAAAATTAGTTCATCCATAAACTAATAGGTCAGAAAAAAAAAGGAAAAATATTCAATGATTTATTTGAGGTTTATTATATGTTCTAGAAATCACCGCTGGCAATTTGGTATCTGGCATAAGCTGTCCACTTCTGGTAGTTTTCCTGCAACCTGATCTCAGTTTTATATTTAACAAATAAAATAAATAAAAATTGGGACCACTGGCTTCCTTTAGTTTTCTTGTAACATGGTCTCTTTAGCCCAAATTGACCATTAGGTAAGTAAACAAGTTATTGAATATATCAATATGAATATTTCACCTCTTGGAAGGAATCATCACTAGGGCGCACACACACTTACACTAAGGCTTGAGACTTTGTGTTATCCATGTTAATATATATTTGATGGTCGAATTATTCAAGTAGTCTATTCTTTTTCTGTGAAGCCACGAGAAGAAGTGAAAAGGAACTTCGACCCTATAGCCGCCCGTAAATCGCCCATCAAATCAAGTTTTCTTTGAATTTTTGTTAATTTGCAAATCATTATACCCATATGGCCCTACACATAGCTACCAAAATTATGTCCATGTCCATTCATATAAACATAGAAGTAGATCGATTGGTGCCTTTTATTTTGGTGTTGGAAATTATTAGGCGTTAGGAAATCGTCCATCAAATTAAAAGGGCTTGAGCTACCGATGTGTACAAGCTATTAACAACCACTACAACATTTTCAATGTCGACGCTATCAACCCTGTATTGAACAATTGCTTTGTGCCTAACTTGGCAAAAGAATCCCTCTCAAGCAATTGGCTTGTATAATTGTACGTGGATGTTAGGTGTGCTTGCATGGTTTTGTCTAAAACGTGCATGCGCGTTGAAATCTTGTACGTAGCCATAACTGTGGCCTAGCTAATATATAACGGTGGACAAATATTTATATATTTTGGATTTTATTTATCGGTTGCTTTTTCGTGTAGGCATGTAAAACATGACATGGACCTAAATAATTAAAGCTAAGCAATCCCCATCTGCCATCCTTTACTAGGTTTCCCTTTCTGATGAGTCTGATCCCTTGCTTGACATGCCAAAACCCTCATGCTAAAACTGACCATCATCACCACAGCATTAGCGTAACGTTTCCATGCAATGATCTGTTGAGTTTGTTGACATCGATCGAATTGGGTCGGCACTAATGGGTATAAAATATAATTAAGGGAGGTCTTGCATATGCGGGTTAAGCCATTTGGTTAAGACAATGTGCATGTTCCTTTGCGCCCGAGTTTGATTTCCCTCCCCTAACATTAGAGCAGTTTAGAATATTACTTTATAATAAAGTAAAAAACATAAGACAGGTCTTATAAACAATAACGACAACGAAAAACTTGCTTTCAAGGAATAAATTGCCCTACCGTTAGAACTTAATTGTAAGAAATTGATTGCATGCAATGTAAGCGACGTCCGTTGATTGATCACAATGCATCTGGCATAATGTTATAATTTCGGTTAAAATTATGCATCTTCATTTAGCCGCGCAACCCGTGACTCTTATGTTGAAAAGACTGCATTAATTGAGTTCGATTCTTTAGGATCCCGGTGATTGTGAAGTTGATCTTTCTTTTGAATCATATGATTACGAAATTGCTGAGTGACATGTTTGGACAACCATTACATTCAACCAAATAGGTTTATATAGTTGAAACAGATGAGTTGTTGACTTTACACAACTTTTATTTTCGGCAGAATTAGGGAGTTGAATTTGAGATTTCTTCTAGCGTTGAAACGAAAAATACTATTAAATTAATGACTGGTTGATACACAATTTTATATTACGCTATAGGTTTGTTTTATTTTTTAGATGAAATTCTGTGAAATACATAAATGCACAATCAAAGTTTAATATTTTATCTAATCACATCTGGTGTTTGTAACAAGTTGTGACTCGTGAGACTCTCAACCATGATGATTAGGAAGAATAATGAAACAAAATTGAGTGAATGATTAAAACTTTGCTGAATACCGTGGCATGACATTGACATACGCCAATTCCATGCGGTGAATGAGGGGAATCCATGCAGATTGCAGAGATTTGGGGGAATGTGGACCAAAGCGCTAGCTAGCACGACTTTTTAGCCCACCAAAAGGCCCTCATAAATTCCAAAATTTCTAGTTTTCTAAGCATGCTCTACTTCCTATCATAGGAATTGTTGTATGCGTCATAGTCTATATTATATAACAACAAAACAAAAAAGTTATTTACATTAACACCCTTTAAGATTTTTGAGTTTGTCACAAAATTCTTTAAGGTTTTAGACCCTTTAAGGTTTTAAATTGTTTTCACAAAATCCTTTTTCGTTAATTTTTCGTTTGATGATTTGTAATTATATATATATATATATAATTTCAAATGACAAAGTTAGCCTTTGAGATTAGATTGCACATTCATTCATTAAGGTTAATTTTGTCACTTGCATACATATTTTTTTTGTAATGAAATCATCAATTTTTGGACGAGCAATCAACGAGAATGGATTTTATGAAAATAATCTGAAACCTCATGAGGTGTTCGTGTAATTTTTGAAACTTCAATGAGTTTTGTGGAAACACCGAAAACCTCAGGAGGTGTAAGTATAAATAAAACAAAATGTATGTAACATTGTCCTTTTAGAAAGATTATTCCTTTTTTTGGGGATTTTTTTTTGCAAAATAGTGTTCATCTTTTCAACCATTGCAGAAAGTATATATGCAACTACTAACATGAATTAAATACCACCTGAATGAGCTAGGGTTTATAGAGGGACAAGAAAAGACTTTAGGAGGTGAAAAGAGAGAGGAATAAACTAAAAAGAAAGAGACATGGCACTGCAAAAGAAATATTGATTACAATTCCTCATCAACTGAAAATGAAACAGCGATATGAGATATAGGGTGGCTAGTCTACATTATCCATAAACTTTGAAAAAGAAACCCTAACAAAATTTGATTTGAAAGATATCGTTTGGTATCCTCTGAACCTGCAGATTCAGTTAATCATCACATAATTATGTCATCAAGTTTTTAAATAAATAAAAAATAGTTAGACATATTGTGCCCTACCCACACCATATTATAATAAGCTAACTTGCAAATTAATTAGGATTATTGATGATTGTATATTCTTACAACTTGGATATGCGTATATTGTCTAATTTGGTCACACTTTCCACAACATCCATATGGTATATGGTTGCTTATGTGACTTAAACAAGGTCATTAGTGGTTAATATAGCATTATCCAAAATCTACAAGATATTGGTTAGGTGATTGTGTTGTGTCTAATTGTCCCATTGAGTTTTGATTATAAAGCTTTAAATTCCCCTTCTTCTTCTTTTTTTTTTAAATATTAAATTTATTGGTTGAATATCAATATTAATTATGCTCCAAACGAATTAAGATTGATGAAAATGAGTTTATTTTTAAAGGCATTTGTAATTGCACGATTTGATGGAAGGAGCAAAAGTGTGTGTTGAAGAATATAATAAGTCCCACATTCGAAACTTGATAAAAATAAATATAATATGAGTGGTTCCACTACTAATATCACCAAGATCTTTTATGATAAAACCTCACATCTACTGAGTTTTGTAAGTGGTTAAGTTAGGGACAATATCGGTGTTACTAGTAGTGGGGTACTAACCCGTGTCTCTAAAATTTAACAGAATGCCAATCAAAATGGATATATATATATATATATATTATGCATGATATAACATATAAGAAAATTACAAAACACCCTTGAAAAAAAAAGAATTTATAAGAAGATATAACCCAACAAATAGAAATGGCCAAAGAGACCCAAACAAATTAGTGAACAAGTTCTGGTGAGACTTCTAGGATTTGCTAAACAACAAATGGCAAGACAGAAAAGCACAGGGTAGCTAAGCATTAGTTAATGGGTTCACCCACAAGGA